TCAGTTATGATACTTGTGTTATACTTGTCAACCTGAAGCCAGGAAATATTTCTCATTTATTACCAACATTCACGCACTCTTGTGTAGTGTGGGTGGGCGTGGGTGAGAGGCTGTTGTGGGTGTGGGTGGATGTGGGTGAGAGGCTGTTGAAGGTGTGGGTGTGGGTGATCGTGGATGAGAGGCTGTTGAGGGTGTGGGTGTGGGTGGGCGTGGGTGAGAGGCTGTTGAGAGTGTGGGTGTGGGTGGGCGTGAGTGAGAGGCTGTTGAGGGTGTGGTTGTTGGTGTTGAAGGGTGGGTGTGGGTGATGGAGGGTGGGTGTGAGTGTGGGTGATGGAGGGTGGGTGTGAGTGCGGGTGATGGAAGGTGGGTGTGAGTGTGGGTAATGGAGGATGGGTGTGAGTGTGGGTGATGGAGGGTGGGTGTGGGTGATGGAGGGTGGGTGTGAGTGTGGGTGATGGAAGGTGGGTGTGAGCGTGGGTGATGGAGGGTGGGTGTGGGTGATGGAGGGTTGGTGTGAGTGTGGGTGATGGAAGGTTGTGTGAGTGTGGGTGATGGAAGGTTGGTGTGAGTGTGGGTGATGGAAGGTTGGTGTGAGTGTGGGTGATGGAAGCTTGGTGTGAGTGTGGGTGATGGAAGGTTGGTGTGAGTGTGGGTGATGGAGGGTAGGTGTGAGTGATGGAGGGTTGGTGTGAGTGTGGGTGATGTAAGGTGGGTGTGAGTGTGGGTGATGGAAGATGGGTGCGAATGTGTGCCAGTTGGCTCATACATTCACCTCACACCCACCGTAATTACACCAGCGGGCAAGTGGGTCACCTAGAATTATTGAAGCGTTGGGAAGACAGAATTAACTGATGCTACTAAGATGGGTCTCTTTAATTACCTAGAGGTAATTAGTGAGAAGTAATTACGTGGGGGAAATCACGAGATATTTAAGTTTCTTGCAGTTCTAAGGTTACCTTCTGTCTAGCTTCTTACCTATTATTTGCAAGATCATTTTACACAAGCTCTACTACAGCCTTTCCCCGGGACAACGTATTCGTTGTACGTACAGAGAATAAACTGCCTTAGTGAAAGGTATCTTCTCGGCAGAACGCTATTTGCATCTTCCAACGCTACTACGATCACTCCATCCCCTCGCCCCACCATCACCACCATCAAAGGGACCTCGTCCTCCAACAAACCGGATTTGCAAGTGTCAAATTAGCGTGTGCTGGTCATGTGGAGGCCACAAGACAACTTCACCAGCAGCAGCACCCGCAGGAGTTCAACCCAGACGCTTATTTGATTACAAGGTGTGCCACGCCACCTCCCGGAGCCACTAACTTGCTAATTCCTGCTTGTGTCGGCCAACTCAGCGCCTCCCATGCACTGTGTCCATGCAACCGTGCACCACACAGTGCAGCCATGTACCACACAGTGCAACTATGAACCAAACAGTGTAACTATGCACCACACAGTGCCATTCAGTACCAATCAGGGCGACTAGGTGAGGGAATAGGTGTGGTAACGCCAGTCTTGTATAGCTAACGTATGGGTTGTTAGGTAAGACACATATGCAACAGTTAGACAACTTTATTCCGAAACGTTTCGCCTACACAGTAGGCTTCTTCAGTCGAATACAGAAAGTAGGCAGGAACAGTAGAGATGTGAAGACGATGTAATCAGTCCATCACCCTTGAAGTCGTAGAATTTGAGGTTGTCAGTCCCTCGGCCTGGAGAAGTTCAGTTCCATAGTCAGGAACTATCTGAAGATCAAGCGACAGTATGGGTGACGTGAGGCTGGTGGTTGGGAGATGTAAAGGTTTGCCGAGTACCTAGTGGGATGGAACACTGTCAGTGTAACAGGTAGTTATATATACGTATATATATATATATATATATATATATATATATATATATATATATATATATATATATATATATATATATATATATATAACATACATATATATTAGTTGAGTCAAGAAATCGTAATGACACGATTGCAAACAAACCATACCCCCGGCCGGGATTGAACCCGCGGTCATAGAGTCTCAAAACTCCAGCCCGTCGCGTTAGCCACTAGACCAGCTAGCCACAATAAGATTCATCCAACTAGGTGTATTTCTACACTATAGGAAGGTTAGCACAGGCACCTCTGTGACCACAAATGCAAGTTTTTACAGACGAATCTCCAGCTAGCGTGGCCGTGACGAACTCTAGCTCAAGTCCCTTCACTGCCGTCAACATGACTCAAGAAATCGTAATGACACGATTGCAAACAAACCATACCCCCGGCCGGGATTGAACCCGCGGTCATAGAGTCTCAAAACTCCAGCCCTTCACGGCCACGCTAGCTGGAGATTCGTCTGTAAAAACTTGCATTTGTGGTCACAGAGGTGCCTGTGCTAACCTTCCTATGGTGTAGAAATACACCTAGTTGGATGAATCTTATTGTGGCTAGCTGGTCTAGTGGAATAACGCGACGGGCTGGAGTTTTGAGACTATGACCGCGGGTTCAATCCCGGCCGGGGGTATGGTATATTAGTTGAGCACATCCATCATGCAGCAGCATCACCAGACTAACATATCCCTGGGGATCATGATATTAAAATCCACTGCAACACTACACTAGGCTGGCTCTTATAGACTCTGGTTAGTCTGCATAGGCTTGGGAAACAGCAGATAAGCCTGGCATATCTGAAATTTTACAGAGCTAGTTTTTTTTTTTAACCCATCCCAAATTTATTATGTGACACTAAAAGAAGATTGTTCCAGAGATGGCAAGAGGGGGAGGTAAGGGATGGGGGGGGGTGCTGGAGGGGAGAGAGGGAGAGCTGGATAGGAGACGAATTCATTTCACCGTCTATATGCAAATTGATCGAGTGCAACACAGAGGAAGAGATTGCAAGTTGGTCTTCACGGCCAGAAAGCTCAATGAAACTTTGAACGTAAGAAGAGGCGGGGATAGGAGAGGGATGATGGGGGGGGGAGGGAAGGAGAGGAGACGTAAGAGAAGAAGAAGAGGGACGGAAGGAGAAGACTGGTTTCCAGGTGGATATTATGACTAACAAGCTCCTCTATTAAAACTGCTGGTGTTATGATATAACCAATTTATTCTCTCTCTCTCTCTCTCTCTCTCTCTCTCTCTCTCTCTCTCTCTCTCTCTCTCTCTCTCTCTCTCTCTCTCTCTCTCTCTCTCTCTCTCTCTCTCTCTCTCTCTCTCTCTCAGAGGACGTAGAAAGTATACTTCGCCTCTTCACCTCCCGACAGACAACTGCTACACTTAACTCTACTTAACCACAAGTTTACCAGAGCAATATAAAACCGGAGAATTTTTTTAAGCAAATGCACTAGAGACTACAGTGATCTGTTTCACTTAAAGCAAAGTGAATACTGAATTACTTCCTAAGTATTATTCATACAAGGTTCTGGACGGGGAGTAATGTATTATTACACTGGGATGGGGAGGAAATAATACAATGATCTATTGTACAACCTTGAATAAAAAGAAAATACAAACTAGAGGATGGAAGACCCAGGGAAGACTTGATAACAACGTACAAAATACTCAGAGGTCTTTAAAGGGAGGACATGAATAGTCAGTTTGAGAGGTGGGATACAGGTACACGAGGGTACAGCTGGATTTTAAATGGCATAGATGAGTTACGGTGACGTCAGGAAGTTTTTCTATAGCCGGAGGAGGATGATGTGGTGAAGGCAGGCTGCATACATAGTTTTAAAAACAGGTATGGCAGAGTCCAAGAGGCTAGGAGGCTGAGACCAGACTCCAGATTTATTTTTGCATATTGTATGTATACAAGATTTTGCATGTGTGTATAATTGCATGTTAACCTGGAGATTACCTGGAGAGAGTTCCGGGGGTCAACGCCCCCGCGGCCCGGTCTGTGACCAGGCCTCTTTGATTTCGATGAGACTTGTGAAACGTTTTTCCAACCCGTGGTTTCCTCAGTCCAGTGCAGAGAAGAATGGTTGAAGATCAGGAGTAGTTTGAGGTAATCAGTCCCTCAGCCTGGAGTCGATGTCATCAGTTCATCAATCTTTATGGACTTTATGTATGATTCTGTGTATGTATGAGTTTTATATACGTATGTTCATGTCCACGGTCATCACATCCTCATTTTCATACAGGTAGATTTCTTGTGTAATATACAGCAGTTTGCATTTCTCTATGAAGGATGGTCCTGAGACCGGGCCGCGCCGCGGGGGCGCTAACCCCCCGCAGTCGTCTTCAGATTACCCCTCCCCCCAAAACAATAAATCTAGCTTATGTGGTTTAACATATTGTCAGGGTAGATTAGTTTGGATTAGTGTTGGTTGGATTAGGTTAGGCTCGGATGGGTACGGGTGAGTTATGCTAGGTTAGGTTAGGATAGGTTTAAGGTAGGTTAGGTTGGGTTAGGTTAGGATAGGTTAGTTAGATTAGGCTTGGGTTGGTCAGGGCAGCTTGGGTTAGCGATGCTGATGGCAGGGTTTGTGGTAGTGATGTGGGTGGGATGATAGTGCTGGGAATAGTGTTGGTGGTAGTAGTTGTGATGGTGATAGCGAATGTGGTGGTTGTGGTGGTGTTAGTACTGGTAGAGGAAGAAGTGGTAATAGCAGCTATTGTGGTGATAGTGGTATCAGCAGTGGTGGTGATAATGGTATCAGCAGTGGTGGTGATAGTGGTATCAGCAGTGGTGGTGATAGTGGTATCAGCAGTGGTGGTGATAGTGGTATCAGCAGTTGTGGTGATAATGGTATCAGCAGTGGTGGTGATAGTGGTATCAGCAGTTGTGGTGATAATGGTATCAGCAGTGGTGGTGATAGTGGTATCAGCAGTGGTGGTGATAGTGGTATCAGCAGTGGTGGTGATAGTGGTATCAGCAGTGGTGGTGATAGTGGTATCAGCAGTGGTGGTGGTGGTGGTGGTAAAAAGCAACCATGGAGGTAGCTGCTTTGGCTGCAATACAGGGTGACGGGGGCGTGGCTGGCACTTGGCACCAGTGCCAGCACTAGCAGTGGGTGTGTAGAATCAGAGATAGAAAGAGAGGGGGCTACCAGTGGGCCTTCTAACACAAGATGAGGAACTTGTGGTCACCCTACCGAGCCAAGAAGAGAGCTGTGAAAAAAGGAGATGTTATCCTGACATCAACGCCCTTCGCTCACGTCGTCAACCACCAATACGTCTCTATGTACTGTTATAACTGCATCATCTCCCACAGGTAGGCCTACCCAACCTACCCAGCTTCTCTCCAAAAAAAATCAGGACATGGCTTGTACCGTCTGAATAAAATGTACAGCAAATTCTTTTATAAAGTAATCGTACATAGTGCGATTTTTTTTTGTTATTGCAATAAAAAAACAAAATGGAACAGGACTTACTATGAAGGATTTTCCACGTGTGGCTCAATTCTGGATACATTTTTTAACCGCATTTACAATGTAGAGGAGCTGGGAATATTTCGTGGGCGTGTATACCAGTCATTAGAGCTCAAAACAACAATAATAATAGTAATAATAATAATAATAAAATATTTTACAAAGTCCTTCAGCATTACATTTATATTTTTATGCTGAGATACTGCAAAACGTCTCTGAAGAAAACTGTCTGAATTTTTATTAGTTTTTTTTGGTGAGATGGACTTGGAAGTTCCCAGCCCTCAGTGCCTTGCTTACTAGAGTCCCCCAGCCCTCAGTGCCTTGCTTGCTAGAGTCTCCCAGCCCTCAGTGCCTTGCTTGCTAGAGTCTCCCAGCCCTCAGTGCCTTGCTTGCTAGAGTCTCCCAGCCCTCAGTGCCTTGCTTGCTAGAGCCTCCCAGCCCTCAGTGCCTTGCTTACTAGTCTCCCAACCCTCAGTGCCTTGCTTACTAGTCTCCCAGTCCTCAGTGCCTTGCTTACTAGAGTCCCCCAGCCCTCAGTGCCTTGCTTGCTAGAGTCTCCCAGCCCTCAGTGCCTCGCTTGCTAGAGTCTCCCAGCCCTCAGTGCCTTGCTTGCTAGAGTCTCCCAGCCCTCAGTGCCTTGCTTGCTAGAGCCTCCCAGCCCTCAGTGCCTTGCTTACTAGTCTCCCAACCCTCAGTGCCTTGCTTACTAGTCTCCCAGCCCTCAGTGCCTTGCTTGCTAGAGTCTCCCAGCCCTCAGTGCCTTGCTTGCTAGAGTCTCCCAGCCCTCAGTGCCTTGCTTGCTAGAGTCTCCCAGCCCTCAGTGCCTTGCTTGCTAGAGCCTCCCAACCCTCAGTGCCTTGCTTACTAGTCTCCCAGCCCTCAGTGCCTTGCTTACTAGTCTCCCAGCCCTCAGTGCCTTGCTTACTAGTCTCCCAGCCCTCAGTGCCTTGCTTACTAGTCTCCCAGCCCTCAGTGCCTTGCTTACTAGTCTCCCAGCCCTCAGTGCTTTGCTTACTAGTCTCCCAGCCCTCAGTGCCTTGCTTACTAGTCTATCAGCCATCAGTGCCTTGCTTACTAGTCTCCAAGCCCTCAGTGCCTTGCTTACTAGTCTCCCAGCCCTCAGTGCCTTGCTTACTAGTCTCCCAGCCCTCAGTGCCTTGCTTACTAGAGTCACCCAGCCCTCAGTGCCTTGCTTACTAGTCTCCCAGCCCTCAGTGCCTTGCTTACTAGTCTCCCAGCCCTCAGTGCCTTGCTTACTAGTCTCCCAGCCCTCAGTGCCTTGCTTACTAGAGTCTCCCAGCCCTCAGTGCCTTGCTTACTAGTCTCCCAGCCCTCAGTGCCTTGCTTACTGGTCTCCCAGCCCTCAATGCCTTGCTTACTAGTCTCCCAGCCCTCAGTGCCTTGCTTACTAGTCTCCCAGCCCTCAGTGCCTCGCTTACTAGTCTCCCAGCCCTCAGTGCCTTGCTTACTAGTCTCCCAGCCCTCAGTGCCTTGCTTACTGGTCTCTCAGCCGTCAGTGCCTTGCTTACTAGTCTCCCAGCCCTCAGTACCTTGCTTACTAGTCTCCCAGCCCTCAGTGCCTTGCTTACTAGTCTCCCAGCCCTCAATGCCTTGCTTACTAGTCTCCCAGCCCTCAGTGTCTTGCTTACTAGTCTCCCAGCCCTCAGTGCCTTGCTTACTAGTCTCCCAGCCCTCAGTGCCTTGCTTACTAGAGTCTCCCAGCCCTCAGTGCCTTGCTTACTGGTCTCCCAGCCCTCAGTGCCTTGCTTACTAGTCTCCCAGCCCTCAGTGCCTTGCTTACTAGAGTCTCCCAGCCCTCAGTGCCTTGCTTACTAGTCTCACAGCCCTCAGTGCCTTGCTTACTAGTCTCCCAGCCCTCAGTGCCTTGCTTACTAGAGCCGCCCCGCCCTCAGTGCCTTACTTACTAGACCCGCCCCGCCCTCAGTGCCTTACTAGACCCGCCCCAACCTCAGTGCCTTACTTACTAGACCCGCCCCGCCCTCAGTGCCTTACTAGACCCGCCCCACCCTGAGTGCCTTACTAGAGCCGCCCCGCCCTCAGTGCCTTACTTACTAGAGCCGCCCCGCCCTCAGTGCCTTACTTACTAGACCCGCCCCGCCCTCAGTGCCTTACTAGACCCGCCTCGCCTTCAGTGCCTTACTAGACCCGCCCCGCCCTCAGTGCCTTACTAGACCCGCCCCGCCCTCAGTGCCTTACTAGATCCGCCCCGCCCTCAGTGCCTTACTTAGACCCCGCCCCGCCCTCAGTGCCTTACTTAGACCCGCCTCGCCCTCAGTGCCTTACTAGACCCGCCTCGCCCTCAGTGCCTTACTAGACCCGCCTCGCCCTCAGCGCCTTACTTAGACCCACCCCGCCTCAGTGCCTTACTAGACCCGCCCCGCCCTCAGTGCCTTACTTACTAGACCCGCCCCGCCCTCAGTGCCTTACTAGACCCGCCTCG